GGAAATGGCATGATCTGCCTCGCGTTTTAAAAAGATCTCGCTGCTGCCTTCGAGGACCGTGTTGCCAAGAGGCCAAGGAGAGGGTGGTGACACAGGCTGGCGAGACGGCAACAGAGGTGGGAGAAGGGGCAGCTCTGGGACGTCTGTGGCACAGGAAAGACTTGCTGGGGGACTCTGGAGGTGGGGGAGTGAGAAACGGGCAGAGGCAGAGGGTTAGGGCAGAGAGCACCCAGCAGCCCACTGAAAACTCAACATTTCGGTTAATGTTCGTTTTCACCTATTTCACCTACATAGTGAGAATCTCTAAATACAGGTAAAATATGGGATTTCATTGTCTCCGTGTACCTTTTTCGTTAGATAACAGGTATCTTACAGACAGTAGGCCAGTAATGCCGGCTCCTTCGGAGCAACCCCCTTGTCCGGCTGTACATTTCTTCCAAGGAGAATCCGTATGTTCCAGGCCTCGCCCGCCTGTAATGGCCAAAACGATCATGTTTCCTTAATTACCCAAATTGCTGTGACTCTGGAGCCCAATCCCCTCGAGACCCCAGAGTTGTCTTCTCCCTTGTTCTCCCCATTTCGGAGGGTGGCTGAGCGCTGGTGGCTGGTCCCCGCATCCCTCCCAGGGGCCACTGGTCGTCCCTCCAGCCGCCCTGACTCCAAGCTCTGCAGGTCACCTGGCGTGGGCTGGAAACTGGCCTCCCTTCCCGGGCCACTCTGCCCTCCCCACAGCAAGGCACCCTGCGTACAGACCCCAGCTCTGCCTTTAATTCCACAAAGCACAGCGAGGAACAGTCAGATGGTTTAATAAAATTTTACAGAAGGCTTGGGGTTGACGCAACTTAGAGAGACACTTACATGCCTATTAAAGAGGATGCTCTAGTAGATGCTTTTGGAGGTTCACAGCTCCCAAAGCCAACCTCAGGCCTCATCCATCGCTCTTGGCTAACTTGAACGTGACCTAGCGAGCTCAGACTACTGTCAACTTGTCTGCAGGCGCCTTCCCGCCCCTGCCTTGCAGACAGCTCTAGGCCCACAGCCCCCAACTTCAGGGCCAGGCCTGCTTCTTCCTCCCTGAGAGGACTGGGAAAAGGATCTTCCCCTTCCTACAAGAGGGACCCTCAAACCACCACCAGCTGCCATGCAGCCTCCATGGCCCCGAACACCAACCCCAATAATCAGTGGTTCGTTTCCGTCTACTGGTCTTCATCACGCCCTGCCTGGGGCTCTAACCTAGACGGCACTGGGCCAAACCTGGTCCTTTTATCTTCCCGGTCCTTCCCCCAATTTGAAGTGAAGAGACAGCCAGGCTACCTTCTGCGTTTTGCAATATCCTTACATGAAAAGTTTGATGAAATGTTTGTTTAAACATGCACATACACCTACACACACAGATACACACGTCTCCCTAGACCTGTTTCAGAGACAATCACTAAAATCTAAATCCATACTCAAAGAGGCTGCAAGGACAATGTCCCCCTAAAACTGGGCTTGATTTATATTAAATAGATCACATCACATCTCAGCTTACTATGTCTAGAGTCAGAGGGATGATGACTTTCTTGACACAAATGAACGTTCTTGGAAAAACTGAAATTCTGCTGACTTTTCCCAAAGCAAAGGAAATTTGCCACAATAATGAGTGGATCTCTCAGCCTCCAGTAACTCTTAGTCACTTTTAAAGAACGGTTCTACTGCTTTAAAAAAATATTTTTCCACTGGGGCATCACTACACAATAATGCAGTCACGGCTCAGAAATATTTTGGAAATTCCTCCTTTGGAATTGCCTTCAGAGCCAGGAGCACATTCTTTTTAAATCACCTCAATGGTTATAAATCTTGATACCAAGAAGGTGCATGGATTCTTAAAAATCAACCACAGATCACTTGAAAACAGATTTTTCTGTGATCAATTTGGGTAACACTGCTTTGGTGTAAAACAAAATGTTTACCCTGAAATATTAGGCAAGAAGGCCATCCACTCCACACATTTTTTTTTTTTACATTTTTACTCTGTGTCAGGATACATGCCTTTATTGGGCACAAACCCAGAAAATAACTAATTACAGTGTTAAATGGGAATCGTTACACTAGTAATGTATGCAAAACCCCAGGAGGCTCAGAGGAGGAGTGCATATGGCAATCTAGAGAAAAAAAATGTTTTAAATAAAAAAAATAAACATTCTTGGGGATAAGAAGGGTTGAGTAAAGAGTTTCAAAAAAGATATAAGGAAAAAAAAACAGTTTAAGCAAACGCATATCGTAGTAATTAGAGTTTTTACCATGGCTAATTTGAAGGTCACGTTTATTTAGATGTATTCATTCACATATATTCTTTGAGGCACCCACCCCACTACTATATAATCATACTTTTGCATACAGGGTCATGAACTTCATTTCACCCCCAGAGTTATGGTAGCAGGACCAAACAAGACATGACTTTTGCCTGTGGTTCTTGACCTCTCCTTGCCTCCTAAACACACGTTCAGTTATGATCCGGAGCTTTCTTTGAGCAAAACCCTGTTGGCTGCTGTGCACCACAGTCATTTAGGAAATCCCTTATGACTTCCAAAACATTCACGTTTTTCCTGGAATAATATTGCACACATTTATATGCGATAGAGTTTTCCTGCCGCATGCATGTTTATGGACCCTGTGTCACTTTGCTGAACACCAGTCCCCACTGCCCAATGGCAGGGCCACAGCTGATGGACAGCACCCTGCCACTAAAGGCCCCGGGCCCCAACCAGGGAGGGAAGGACCTAAGTATTGGTGGGGAATGTAAAGGTACTAAGGCACAACGTGACTCTTCCAGATGGAGCTCCACCAGGATCTGATGACAGCTTCCCTAAAGAGCATCTGGAGGCATTGGGTGGCCTTTGTTTTATACCTGCCTAAAAACCTGAAACACCAATGACTACCCTGGGGTTTCTCGTATACAGGGGAAAAGTGACTCCAAAGCCCTTTCCCAGGAAAATTCAGAAGGGTGGTGACCTGAGAGATTTCAGCTATGGCAATGGTGTGAGTTTGGGCCATGCTTCCTCATCAAAATCATCTCTTGGATTTCTTAAGACCTGGAAGAAAAGAAATGAAATAATATAGCAGCTGTGGAAATCACACCAGTCCAGGCGCACGGGGTAAAACGAGTTGATATTTCAACAAGCTGGGTACCTAGACCCTCACGAATCAAAAAGCAAGAGAGGTAGAAAGGAATTTTGGTCACGTCAGAATTTCACCTAGACTACTGTTTTATGCTTTTCTTTGACTTACTCTATAAATATTTTACTACAACTCTCAAAGTTTATAGGATCCTTAAGACTTGTAAAAACTTGAGTAACTGGAACCCAGTGACTGATACCTACCACAGGGATCTTGAATTTCTTTTTTTAAGATTCCACTGAACAGAATGCATTCTACCCAGAACCCCTTGAAAGGACAAACTCCCCTCTGTTTCAGTTGTGAGTATGCAGGGAGAAAAGAACAATGGCTCCCACTTATGGACTCCACCGTGTCAGGACTCTGGGGTCTTGGCCCCAGACCTGGAGCTTCCATGGCTCACACACTTGGGAGGCTCAGTGTGTGTGGCGGGGAGTGGGTGGTGTGTGTTTCATCCCAGAGACCCCAGCGTCCTGGATCCCTGGCACCAGCATCGGAGTCTCCAAAGCGGAGAAGTCCCTGTTTTCTGTTCTCCCCACCTTTGTCCTAGTACATTTGGGGAAAGACAGTCCACTGGCTTTTAAAGGAAATGTTTCCAAGAGCCTTTTACCAAGCTGCAAGTTTTAATTGTAGGCTTGAGAAATATGCACAGATGTCTTCTGGTTCCCAATGATCTGAGATTCACTAGCTTTTGAACTAATTATCCTGATCTCCAAAGTACGTAGCACTAGCTTTATCAGTCCAAACGCGACTAATTCATCGGATGCATTTGTTCTGATGACTGAATCATGTGTGTGGCTGTTTTCTTCCATAATAGTTTCTAGATTAAACTTTGGTCCCTAAAGGGGTGTGAATCTGTCACAGACAGATAGAAAGCTATACGTGTCGTGTATGTGGCTCTTTTCTTCCATAATAGTTTCTAGATTAAACTTTGGTCCCTAAAGGGGTGTGAATCTGTCACAGACAGATAGAAAGCTATACGTGTCGTGTATGTGGCTCTTTTCTTCCATAATAGTTTCTAGATTAAACTTTGGTCCCTAAAGGGGTGTGAATCTGTCACAGACAGATAGAAAGCTATACGTGTCGTGTATGTGGCTCTTTTCTTCCATAATAGTTTCTAGATTAAACTTTGGTCCCTAAAGGGGTGTGAATCTGTCACAGACAGGTAGAAACCTATACGTGTCATGTATGTGGCTCTTTTCTTCCACAATAGTTTCTAGATTAAACTTTGGTCCCTAAAGGGGTGTGAATCTGTCACAGACAGGTTGAAACCTATACGTGTCGTGTGTGTGGCTCTTTTCTTCCACAACAGTTTCTAGATTAAACTTTGGTCCCTAAAGGGGTGTGAATCTGTCACAGACAGATAGAAAGCTATACGTGTCGTGTATGTGGCTCTTTTCTTCCATAATAGTTTCTAGATTAAACTTTGGTCCCTAAAGGGCTGTGAATCTGTCACAGACAGATAGAAACCTATACGTGTCATGTGTGTGGCTCTTTTCTTCCATAATAGTTTCTAGATTAAACTTTGGTCCCTAAAGGGGTGTGAATCTGTCACAGACAGATAGAAAGCTATACGTGTCGTGTATGTGGCTCTTTTCTTCCATAATAGTTTCTAGATTAAACTTTGGTCCCTAAAGGGGTGTGAATCTGTCACAGACAGATAGAAACCTATACGTGTCGTGTGTGTGGCTCTTTTCTTCCACAATAGTTTCTAGATTAAACTTTGGTCCCTAAAGGGGTGTGAATCTGTCACAGACAGATAGAAAGCTATACGTGTCGTGTATGTGGCTCTTTTCTTCCACAATAGTTTCTAGATTAAACTTTGGTCCCTAAAGGGGTGTGAATCTGTCACAGACAGGTAGAAACCTATACGTGTCATGTGTGTGGCTCTTTTCTTCCACAATAGTTTCTAGATTAAACTTTGGTCCCTAAAGGGGTGTGAATCTGTCACAGACAGGTAGAAACCTATACGTGTCGTGTGTGTGGCTCTTTTCTTCCATAACAGTTTCTAGATTAAACTTTGGTCCCTAAAGGGGTGTGAATCTGTCACAGACAGGTAGAAACCTATACGTGAAGAGGGCCTCCACCGTCTCACCTCCATAGCCTAGATGTGCCTTAAACACAATCAAAACTGAAACCAGCATTAAATTAAATGAAAGGACTTAACAGAAAATAATTACCACATGTCAGAGAGACAGTTACCCATTTGGTAAAGGTTTGGTACAGAGGAGCCTTCTTTTGAACATAAAAACCCCAATACTTATATATTTTAAAGGTAGATTTCCATATTTTAAAGTAAGTATTCCCTGTAGGAA